AGTTTTGGTTGTTAGCTGCATAAAACTGTCACTGGTTTAGCTGTGCGGCTTGTTTTGACAAAGTTACAGCTAAGAAACGGCAACAAAACTTTGCTCTCTGCTGCCAAAAGACGTATACTTGATTTTGGGCACAAAAAAACAGTTTTTAGGCCATAGCACAGCCAAAAATGGTCCAAATGTGGAATGTAATACCTCGTAGGGCTCGTAACTTGATTGCCATGATTCCCAATTGATTAGCATTCAAATCTGGAAAACTTCATTTCTGGCCATTTTTTGAAAATTTTGATGATGGTACCCCTTATCAAAAATGCGAAATTTGGGCCCAAATTGATTTTCCCAAAATCGAAAAACGAGGGATAGGGGAGGTAAGTGTTGGTCGTTAGCAGCACAGAACAGTCTTCCTTTTCGCTGTGCGTCTTGTTTTGACCGAGCTAGAGCTAATAACCCGGAAATAGTATTGCAAATTTCTGTCAGAAATAGGTTTTTTGATTTTTTAGCCATAAATCAGCACTCGCACCAAAAGAATCAGAACCATAATGGTAAAAGCAGGTATAGGGATTTAAAGTTTTGGTTGTTAGCTGCATAAAACTGTCACTGGTTTAGCTGTGCGGCTTGTTTTGACAAAGTTAGAGCTAAGAAACGGCAACAAAACTGTGCTCTCTGCTGCCAAAAGACGTATACTTGATTTTGGGCACAAAAAAACAGTTTTTAGGCCATAGCACAGCCAAAAATGGTCCAAATGAGGAATGTAATACCTCGTAGGGCTCGTAACTTGATTGCCATGATTCCCAATTGATTAGCATTCAAATCTGGAAAACTTCATTTCTGGCCATTTTTTGAAAATTTTGATGATGGTACCCCTTATCAAAAATGCGAAATTTGGGCCCAAATTGATTTTCCCAAAATCGGAAAACAAGGGATAGGGGAGGTAAGTGTTGGTCGTTAGCAGCACAAAACAGTTTTCTTTTTGGCTGTGCGTCTTGTTTTGACCGAGCTAGAGCTAAAAACCCGGAAATAATATTGCAAATTTCTGTCAGAAATAGGTTTATTGATTTTTTAGCCATAAATCAGAACTCGCACCAAAAGAATCAGAACCATAATGGTAAAAGCAGGTATAGGGATTTAAAGTTTTGGTTGTTAGCTGCATAAAACTGTAACTGGTTTAGCTGTGCAGCTTGTTTTGACAAAGTTACAGCTAAGAAACGGCAACAAAACTGTGCTCTCTGCTGCCAAAAGACGTATACTTGATTTTCCCAAAATCGAAAAACGAGGGATAGGGGAGGTAAGTGTTGGTCGTTAGCAGCACAAAACAGTTTTCTTTTTGGCTGTGCGTCTTGTTTTGACCGAGCTAGAGCTAAAAACCCGGAAATAATATTGCAAATTTCTGTCAGAAATAGGTTTTTTGATTTTTTAGCCATAAATCAGCACTCGCACCAAAAGAATCAGAACCATAATGGTAAAAGCAGGTATAGGGATTTAAAGTGTTGGTTGTTAGCTGCATAAATCTGTCACTGGTTTAGCCGTGCAGTTTGTTTTGACAAAGTTAGAGCTAAGAAACGGCAACAAAACTGTGCTCTCTGCTGCCATCAGACGTATTCTTGATTTTGGGCAGAAAAAACAGTTTTTAGGCAATAGCACAGCCAAAAATGGTCCAAATGAGGAATGTAATACCTCGTAGGGCTCGTAACTTGATTGCCATGATTCCCAATTGATTAGCATTCAAATCTGGAAAACTTCATTTCTGGCCATTTTTTGAAAATTTTGATGATGGTACCCCTTATCAAAAATGCGAAATTTGGGCCCAAATTGATTTTCCCAAAATCGAAAAACGAGGGATAGGGGAGGTAAGTGTTGGTCGTTAGCAGCACAGAACAGTCTTCCTTTTGGCTGTGCGTCTTGTTTTGACCGAGCTAGAGCTAATAACCCGGAAATAGTATTGCAAATTTCTGTCAGAAATAGGTTTTTTGATTTTTTAGCCATAAATCAGCACTCGCACCAAAAGAATCAGAACCATAATGGCAAAAGCAGGTATAGGGATTTAAAGTTTTGGTTGTTAGCTGCATAAAACTGTCACTGGTTTAGCCGTGCAGTTTGTTTTGACAAAGTTAGAGCTAAGAAATGGCAACAAAACTGTGCTCTCTGCTGCCATCAGACGTATTCTTGATTTTAGGCACAAAAAAACAGTTTTTAGGCCATAGCACAGCCAAAAATGGTCCAAATGAGGAATGTTATACCTCGTAGAGCTCGTAACTTGATTGCCATGATTCCCAATTGATTAGCATTCAAATCGGGAAAACTTAATTTTTGGCCATATTTTAAAAATTTTGATGATGGTACCCCTTATCAAAAATGCGAAATTTGGGCCCAAATTGATTTTCCCAAAATCGAAAAACGAGGGATAGGGGAGGTAAGTGTTGGTCGTTAGCAGCACAGAACAGTCTTCCTTTTGGCTGTGCGTCTTGTTTTGACCGAGCTAGAGCTAAAAACCCGGAAATAATATTGCAAATTTCTGTCAGAAATAGGTTTATTGATTTTTTAGCCATAAATCAGAACTCGCACCAAAAGAATCAGAACCATAATGGTAAAAGCAGGTATAGGGATTTAAAGTTTTGGTTGTTAGCTGCATAAAACTGTAACTGGTTTAGCTGTGCAGCTTGTTTTGACAAAGTTACAGCTAAGAAACGGCAACAAAACTGTGCTCTCTGCTGCCAAAAGACGTATACTTGATTTTCCCAAAATCGAAAAACGAGGGATAGGGGAGGTAAGTGTTGGTCGTTAGCAGCACAAAACAGTTTTCTTTTTGGCTGTGCGTCTTGTTTTGACCGAGCTAGAGCTAAAAACCCGGAAATAATATTGCAAATTTCTGTCAGAAATAGGTTTTTTGATTTTTTAGCCATAAATCAGCACTCGCACCAAAAGAATCAGAACCATAATGGTAAAAGCAGGTATAGGGATTTAAAGTGTTGGTTGTTAGCTGCATAAATCTGTCACTGGTTTAGCCGTGCAGTTTGTTTTGACAAAGTTAGAGCTAAGAAACGGCAACAAAACTGTGCTCTCTGCTGCCATCAGACGTATTCTTGATTTTGGGCAGAAAAAACAGTTTTTAGGCAATAGCACAGCCAAAAATGGTCCAAATGAGGAATGTAATACCTCGTAGGGCTCGTAACTTGATTGCCATGATTCCCAATTGATTAGCATTCAAATCTGGAAAACTTCATTTCTGGCCATTTTTTGAAAATTTTGATGATGGTACCCCTTATCAAAAATGCGAAATTTGGGCCCAAATTGATTTTCCCAAAATCGAAAAACGAGGGATAGGGGAGGTAAGTGTTGGTCGTTAGCAGCACAGAACAGTCTTCCTTTTGGCTGTGCGTCTTGTTTTTACCGAGCTAGAGCTAATAGCCCGGAAATAGTATTGCAAATTTCTGTCAGAAATAGGTTTTTTGATTTTTTAGCCATAAATCAGCACTCGCACCAAAAGAATCAGAACCATAATGGTAAAAGCAGGTATAGGGATTTAAAGTGTTGGTTGTTAGCTGCATAAATCTGTCACTGGTTTAGCCGTGCGGCTTGTTTTGACAAAGTTAGAGCTAAGAAACGGCAACAAAACTGTGCTCTCTGCTGCCAAAGGACGTATACTTGATTTTAGGCACAAAAAAACAGTGTTTAGGCCATAGCATAGCCAAAAATGGCCCAAATGGGGAATGTAATACCTCGTAGGGCTCGTAACTTGATTGCCATGATTCCCAATTGATTAGCATTCAAATCTGGAAAACTTCATTTCTGGCCATTTTTTGAAAATTTTGATGATGGTACCCCTTATCAAAAATGCGAAATTTGGGCCCAAATTGATTTTCCCAAAATCGAAAAACGAGGGATAGGGGAGGTAAGTGTTGGTCGTTAGCAGCACAGAACAGTCTTCCTTTTGGCTGTGCGTCTTGTTTTGACCGAGCTAGAGCTAATAACCCGGAAATAGTATTGCAAATTTCTGTCAGAAATAGGTTTTTTGAATTTTTAGCCATAAATCAGCACTCGCACCAAAAGAATCAGAACCATAATGGTAAAAGTAGGTATAGGGGCTTAAAGTTCTTGTTGTTAGCTGCATAAACCATAATGGTAAAAGCAGGTATAGGGATTTAAAGTTTTGGTTGTTAGCTGCATAAAACTGTCACTGGTTTAGCTGTGCGGCTTGTTTTGACAAAGTTAGAGCTAAGAAACTGCAACAAAATCGGGATCTCTTCTGTCAGAAATAGTTTTTTTTTATTTTTTAGCCATAAATCAGCTCTCGCACCAAAAGAATCAGAACCATAATGGTACAAGCAGGTATAGGGATTTAAAGTTTTGGTTGTTAGCTGCATAAAACTGTCACTGGTTTAGCTGTGCAGCTTGTTTTGGCAAAGTTAGAGCTAAGAAACGGCAACAAAACCGGGATCTCTTCTGTCAGAAAAAGGTTATTAAAAATGCGAAATTTGGGCCAAAATTGAATTTCCCAAAATCGGATTGAAGTTTTCCAGATTTGAATGCAAATTGATTGGGAATCAAAGCAATGAAATTACGAGCCCAACGAGGTATTGCTTTGCCCAATTGGACCATTTTTGGCGTGCTATTACAAAAACACTGATTTTTTTGTGCTTAAAATCTAGTAAAGGTGTTTTGACTGCAGAGAGCAGTTTCTAAGCTCTAAATTTGTTAAAACAAGCCACTTGGATAATTAACTAACTTTACTAACGAAACTTAAAAGCCCTATACTAATTTTTATTGTTTTGGTATTTTGCGGCGAGTGCTAATTTAATTTAATGGCTAAAAAATGTAAAAATACAATTTTTTGCAGATATTTGCAATTTTATTTGCGGGTTTCTAGATATAACTTTCTGAAATCAAGACGTACGAACGACTGTTTTGTGCAGCTTTTGAATAAAACTTATTATTCGATGCATTTTGACGAATAATTGGCAAAACTTTACATTTTTGTAGCTAATCCAATTTAAAATGTTTTTTAGGCAACCAAGTGATGGTGATGACTAGGACTTTAAGCGGAGCTTTTATGCGGACATTTATAACCAATGAAATCAGCTATAAAATACTTAAAGGGACCCCGCCTGCTCAACGGAGAAGGACCCTTGTCACGCAGATCGATACATTTTTGTTTGTAAAATTAAATTTAAATGTGAAAACGTTTCAATAAAATTAAAAATTAAATAATTTTGATTTTATATGGTATTACGTTAAGAAAGAAGAGGTAAATTACCAAAACATTTTGACGAAAATTCGCCCTAAGTTTTGACGAAAATATTTATTAAAAAATTGGGTAATCATTTTACATAATCGGCAAAAGTTTCGACAAAAATATACTTTTAAATTTTTGCGAATATTGGTCAATGTGTGCCTAAAAGTATGCAAAAATTTTTCCTGGACAGTCGTATATGCCTAAAGGTATGCTAGCATTTTTCGACAGTCATATATGCCCACAGGTGTGCTACGTTAGTGGAATACCTTAAAGTATGCTACAACTTCTCGCCTGAAAGATTTTTGCCAATGAAGTCGTACGTGCCTAAAAGTATGCCTCATTAGCGGAATGCCTTAGAGTATTCTAAAATGGTTCACCTATACAGTTACATACACCTAAAAGTATGCACATATTTTTCGCCACGACAGTCGTACATGCATAAAGGTATGCTACAATCCCCGAACCTCTTCAAGAAAGCTTTGCATATTCGTTTTTTTCGTTCATTTTATTTAATCGTTCATATTATAATATTATACATAAAATAAATGTTCACGACGAGAGCGTATTCCAGTGTCGGTCGTCAAATGACATTCCATTGCTCCATTCTCAATTCGATTCATAGCAGCCCTCAAGCTCGGAGGAGGTTGCTGTTGCAGTTTATTACCTTTAACCCCCCCTATACCTACTTTTACCATTATGGTTCTGATTCTTTTGGTTCGAGTGCTGATTTATGGCTAAAAAATAAAAAAACCTATTTCTGACAGAAATTTGCAATACTATTTCCGGGTTATTAGCTCTAGCTCGGTCAAAACAAGACGCACAGCCAAAAGGAAGACTGTTCTGTGCTGCTAACGACCAACACTTACCTCCCCTATCCCTCGTTTTTCGATTTTGGGAAAATCAATTTGGGCCCAAATTTCGCATTTTTGATAAGGGGTACCATCATCAAAATTTTCAAAAAATGGCCAGAAATGAAGTTTTCCAGATTTGAATGCTAATCAATTGGGAATCATGGCAATCAAGTTACGAGCCCTACGAGGTATTACATTCCCCATTTGGGCCATTTTTGGCTATGCTATGGCCTAAACACTGTTTTTTTTGTGCCCAAAATCAAGTATACGTCTTTTGGCAGCAGAGAGCACAGATTTGTTGCCGTTTCTTAGCTCTAACTTTGTCAAAACAAGCCGCACGGCTAAACCAGTGACAGTTTTATGCAGCTAACAACAAGAACTTTAAACCCCTATACCTACTTTTACCATTATGGTTCTGATTCTTTTAGTGCGAGTGCTGATTTATGGCTAAAAATTCAAAAAACCTATTTCTGACAGTAAAAATCCCGATTTTGTTGCCGTTTCTTAGCTCTAACTTTGTCAAAACAAGCCGCACGGCTAAACCAGTGACAGTTTTATGCAGCTAACAACAAGAACTTTAAACCCCTATACTTACTTTTGCCATTATGGTTCTGATTCTTTTGATGCGAGTGCTGATTTATGGCTAAAAATTCAAAAAACCTATTTCTGACAGAAATTTGCAATATTATCTCCGGGTTTTTAGCTCTAGCTCGGTCAAAACAAGACGCAGAGCCAAAAGAAAGACTGTTTTGTGCTGCTAACGACCAACACTTACCTCCCCTATCCCTCGTTTTTCGATTTTGGGAAAATCAATTTGGGCCCAAATTTCGCATTTTTGATAAGGGGTACCATCATCAAAATTTTCAAAAAATGGCCAGAAATGAAGTTTTCCAGATTTGAATGCTAATCAATTGGGAATCATGGCAATCAAGTTACGAGCCCTACGAGGTATTACATTCCTCATTTGGGCCATTTTTGGCTGTGCTATTGCCTAAAAACTGTTTTTATTGTGCCCAAAATCAAATGTACGTCTTGTTTCGTCAGTTTTGTTGCCGTTTCTTAGCTCTAACTTTGTCAAAACAAGCCGCACAGCTAAACCATTGAAAGTTTTATGCAGCTAACAACCAGAACTTTAAACCCCTATACCTACTTTTGCCATTATGGTTCTTATTCTTTTGGTGCGAGTGCTGATTTATGGCTAAAAAATCAAAAAAACTATTTCTGACAGAAGAGATCCCGATTTTGTTGCAGTTTCTTAGCTCTAACTTTGTCAAAACAAGCCGCAGTGACAGTTTTAAGCAGCTAACAACCAGAACTTTAAACCCCTATACCTACTTTTACCATTATGGCTCTGATTCTTTTGGTGCGAGTGCTGATTTATGGCTAAAAAATCAAAAAACCTATTTCTGACAGAAATTTGCAATATTATCTCCGGGTTTTTAGCTCTAGCTCGGTCAAAACAAGACGCACAGCCAAAATAACGACTGTTTTGTGCTGCTAACGACCAATACTTACCTCCCCTATCCCTCGTTTTTCGATTTTGGGAAAATCAATTTGGGCCCAAATTTCGCATTTTTGATACCATCATCAAAATTTTCAAAAAATTGCCAGAAATGAAGTTTTCCAGATTTGAATGCTAATCAATTGGGAATCATGGCAATCAAGTTACGAGCCCTACGAGGTATTACATTCCCCATTTGGGCCATTTTTGGCTATGCTATGGCCTAAAAACTGTTTTTATTGTGCCCAAAATCAAATGTACGTCTTGTTTCGTCAGTTTTGTTGCCGTTTCTTAGCTCTAACTTTGTCAAAACAAGCCGCACAGCTAAACCATTGAAAGTTTTATGCAGCTAACAACCAGAACTTTAAACCCCTATACCTACTTTTGCCATTATGGTTCTTATTCTTTTGGTGCGAGTGCTGATTTATGGCTAAAAAATCAAAAAAACTATTTCTGACAGAAGAGATCCCGATTTTGTTGCAGTTTCTTAGCTCTAACTTTGTCAAAACAAGCCGCAGTGACAGTTTTAAGCAGCTAACAACCAGAACTTTAAACCCCTATACCTACTTTTACCATTATGGCTCTGATTCTTTTGGTGCGAGTGCTGATTTATGGCTAAAAAATCAAAAAAACCTATTTCTGACAGAAATTTGCAATATTATCTCCGGGTTTTTAGCTCTAGCTCGGTCAAAACAAGACGCACAGCCAAAATAACGACTGTTTTGTGCTGCTAACGACCAATACTTACCTCCCCTATCCCTCGTTTTTCGATTTTGGGAAAATCAATTTGGGCCCAAATTTCGCATTTTTGATAAGGGGTACCATCATCAAAATTTTCAAAAAATGGCCAGAAATGAAGTTTTCCAGATTTGAATGCTAATCAATTGGGAATCATGGCAATCAAGTTACGAGCCCTACGAGGTATTACATTCCTCATTTGGACCATTTTTGGCTGTGCTATTGCCCAAAAACTGTTTTTTCTGCCCAAAATCAAGAATACGTCTGTTGGCAGCAGAGAGCACAGTTTTGTTGCCGTTTCTTAGCTCTAACTTTGTCAAAACAAACTGCACGGCTAAACCAGTGACACTTTTATGCAGCTATCAACCAAAACTTTAAATCCCTATACCTGCTTTTACCATTATGGTTCTGATTCTTTTAGTGCGAGTGCTGATTTATGGCTAAAAATTCAAAAAACCTATTTCTGACAGAAATTTGCAATACTATTTCCGGGTTATTAGCTCTAGCTCGGTCAAAACAAGACGCACAGCCAAAAGGAAGACTGTTCTGTGCTGCTAACGACCAACACTTACCTCCCCTATCCCTCGTTTTTCGATTTTGGGAAAATCAATTTGGGCCCAAATTTCGCATTTTTGATAAGGGGTACCATCATCAAAATTTTCAAAAAATGGCCAGAAATGAAGTTTTCCAGATTTGAATGCTAATCAATTGGGAATCATGGCAATCAAGTTACGAGCTCTACGAGGTATAACATTCCTCATTTGGACCATTTTTGGCTGTGCTATGGCCTAAAAACTGTTTTTTTTTGTGCCCAAAATCAAGTATACGTCTTTTGGCAGCAGAGAGCACAGATTTGTTGCCGTTTCTTAGCTCTAACTTTGTCAAAACAAGCCACACGGCTAAACCAGTGACAGTTTTATGCAGCTAACAACAAGAACTTTAAACCCCTATACCTACTTTTGCCATTATGGTTCTGATTCTTTTAGTGCGAGTGCTGATTTATGGCTAAAAATTAAAAAAACCTATTTCTGACAGTAAAAATCCCGATTTTGTTGCCGTTTCTTAGCTCTAACTTTGTCAAAACAAGCCGCACGGCTAAACCAGTGACAGTTTTATGCAGCTAACAACAAGAACTTTAAGCCCCTATACCTACTTTTACCATTATGGTTCTGATTCTTTTGGTGCGAGTGCTGATTTATGGCTAAAAAATAAAAAAACCTATTTCTGACAGAAATTTGCAATACTATTTCCGGGTTATTAGCTCTAGCTCGGTCAAAACAAGACGCACAGCCAAAAGGAAGACTGTTCTGTGCTGCTAACGACCAACACTTACCTCCCCTATCCCTCGTTTTTCGATTTTGGGAAAATCAATTTGGGCCCAAATTTCGCATTTTTGATAAGGGGTACCATCATCAACATTTTCAAAATATGGCCAAAAATTAAGTTTTCCCGATTTGAATGCTAATCAATTGGGAATCATGGCAATCAAGTTACGAGCTCTACGAGGTATAACATTCCTCATTTGGACCATTTTTGGCTGTGCTATGGCCTAAAAACTGTTTTTTTTTGTGCCCAAAATCAAGTATACGTCTTTTGGCAGCAGAGAGCACAGATTTGTTGCCGTTTCTTAGCTCTAACTTTGTCAAAACAAGCCGCACGGCTAAACCAGTGACAGTTTTATGCAGCTAACAACAAGAACTTTAAACCCCTATACTTACTTTTGCCATTATGGTTCTGATTCTTTTAGTGCGAGTGCTGATTTATGGCTAAAAATTCAAAAAACCTATTTCTGACAGAAAT